GCCCCGCGCCCCTCCCGCCGCGCTGGTTGGCTGCGCGCGGCGCCCGAGCCCCAGCCGCCAGCTGGTTTGTCGCGCGGGGAGAGGGACGGGCGTCGCGGCCGCCTCGGGGAGGGGGGCTGGGACCGGAGGGGGCGGGGGGCCTGGAGCCGAGCTGTGACATCACCGCCGACACCGCGGTCTGCTCGGTGGGAGACGTGGGGAACCGACCCCGGGCTCGAACGCGGCGCCCCCTCCGCCCGCGCAGTCCCCGCGCGCGCGCGCGCGCGCGCCCCCCCCCCCCCCCCCCCACCGCGGGGGTGAGTGACCGGGCGGCGCCCTGCCCACCCGCACTTGCCCAGAGGCCCCCTGCCCACACGCACTTGCCGCGGATCCCGCGCCGGGCCTTCCCCCAAGTGTGACCCCTTTCTAGTGAAATCTCCGCCTGCCCCCAGCCCCCCCACCCGCGAGGCTGGCAGCACGAGCGCCTGGTCGCAGAGGGACAAAGACTCGGTGGGGTCCCTGCCGCAGGGAGGGGCGGTGGGGGGCGGGGAGCGGACACCGACTCCGGTGTAACAGGTGAATTTTAATCGCGTCTGCAGGCTCGGTCCGGCACTGGAGGGGACCAGAGCATCGCGCACAGCTCTTCTCGGAGGGATGATGCAACCGGCCGGCCGCCTCCCGCTTCTCCTCCCATCATGCCTTGGGTGGAGACCCCCACCCGCCGCCCGCCCCACTTCTCCAGGTCATCAGCCCCCACGGTCCTCACACCCTGCCTCCGCAGCCTAACTTCCGTGGACCAGGTCACACGCTGCTGCCGGGCCACACGGGCAAACCCAGCCTGCGTCAACCTGTCCAGCGGCTTCCCAGGCCACCCAGACCGAGTGGCATCGCTGTTGCCACCGACCTCCACCGGCCACCCTAGGGGGTGGCACCTTTGACAGAGCCTCCAGCCAGCTCACCCACCGGAACTGCGGTGGGCGCGGTGACGTTATGCCTTCGCGGAAGCGGGGTGCTCAGGTCCCTTTCCAGCCCAGCTCCTGCCATCAGCTTTCTCTGCATCCCCGTGGCTCAGCCTCCCCCAGCGCCCAGCAGGTGCAGGACGCTGCCCTGAAGGTTTTAGTTAACCATTGAATCCTCACCCCACTCAGTGAGGGCTGGGGGGCTTCGCCTCGATTTGCACCATCTGTGTGGCACATTCCTCCAGAGTAACAAGGTGCCCAGGTCCCTTTCCAGCCCAGCTCCTGGAATATGCATCCTGCCAAGGAGGCCACCCTCCCACCCCATCCCCCGAAGCCCCCCCCCCCCCAACTTTTCTTCTTTTATTTCATGGAACCACCTACATAAAAGAGAAATTCTTGTTTTTCCAAACTTGTGGTAGAAACAATAGAACTATCTGGGCGGGGCATGGGGGGCTTTATCATTTCCATCATATTTATTGATCTGGTCAAGGTCTCTATTTCTTGAACCAAATTTTACATGTTTCTAGGAATTAATCAATTTCACTGAGCTTTTAAAATTACCAGCATATACTCATTCTTATGTCAATCGCCTCTCTAGTTATTTCTCCTTTTTCAAGTCTGTACTTTGTTTACTTGCGTTTTTCTCTGTTAATATTTTTAAATATTTTCAAGGGGCCAACTTTTTGTTTAGGCCGTCTTCTCATCTTTCCTCCTGTTTCACTCATTTCTGCCCTTGTTGATGATTTCCCTCCTTCCTGGTTCTCCGGGTCTGTATGTTGCTTCCGTCTTGAGCTAAGTGCTCAAACTCATTTATTTTTAAACCATCTAATTTTCTGACGGATATATTTAAAACTGCAAACTTCATTCTACAGCACAGCCTTATCAGGGCTCACAAATTTGGACATATGATGTTTCATTATCACTCAGATCTAAATATTTCTCTTTTTATTTTAATGTTTATTTATTTTGAGGGAGAGAGAGAGAGAGAGACAGAGCACGAGCAGGGGAGGGGCAGAGAGAGAGGGAGACACAGAATCCGAAGCAGGCTCCAGGCTCCCAGCTGTCAGCACAGAGCCCATCGCTCGGCTTGAACTCACAAACCGCAAGATCATGACCTGAGCCAAAGTCGGACCTTTAACTGCCTGAGCTACCCGGGCGCCGCAGATCTAAATATTTCTAATATCCCTGATGATCTCCTTTTAAACTCGTGGGTTATAAGCCCATGCCTTGTTTAATAATGTTATTTACTTTCCAATAGCGTTTCTTGCTCGCTTGCTTCGGTATTTCTCTTATCGTAACTTTTTGTTACCAGTTTCTAATTTAATCGCATTACCGCCTGAGAACAAAGTCTGTGTTCAGTCAGGATCCTGGCAGGAAGCAGATGGCACGCTCCAATTAGGTAATGTGAGGAGTATTTGATAAAGGGACTGTTTACAAAGGTGTAGGTAGGAGAAGGGAAACCCCAGGACTGAGGGACACTGCAGTGACACTGTGGCCGACTGCAAGGGGTAGGAGGGAGGAGAGGGAGCAGCCCTGGCGGGAACAGAGGGCTTAGCTGAGCACTCATCAAGAGGGACCAGAGCAGCCAACCCCTGGCCCTGGACCCCACTCCCCTCCTCTCTGGACCTGGGAGCGCCCCCTTTGCCTGAGTCCAAGGGCAGCTGGAAGGCTGGGGCACCCACTGACGAGGTCCATTCAGCATGGCTTCTTAGGACATGGCGCAGAGGGGACCTTGAAGCACAAGCCAAACATCGCAGCCCGCTGCATGGAATGTTGCCCCAGAAATTTATTGAGGCCTCTTCAGCTCCCAACACATGGTCCTTTTCTATAACTATTCTACATGTGCTAAAAGGTTGTACTCTCTGTTTGATGGGTATAGAGTTCTGTAGATATTTATGATTTTAAGATTATTAATTATGATGTTCAGGATTTGGAGACTTCTAGTTTTTGTCTGCTTGAGCTATTAATTTTTTTTTTTATTAAAATCTCTAGTGACAATTGTTGAAATACCTATTTCTCCCTGCAGGTCTGGCAGATCTTGCGTGATGTACGTTGAGACTTATTCTCGGGTATTTAAATGATCCTGATGGATGTGCACTATTGTTCTGTGGCCCATTTCATCAGAATGCATGCGGTGTCCCATGTGGGTTTAAAAAAACTTTTTGGGGGGGCGCCTGGGTGGCGCAGTCGGTTGAGCGTCCGACTTCAGCTCAGGTCACGATCTTGCGGTCCGTGAGTTCAAGCCCCGCGTCAGGCTCTGGGCTGATGGCTCAGAGCCTGGAGCCTGCTTCCCGTTCTGTGTCTCCTTCTCTCTCTGCCCCTCCCCCCTTCATGCTCTGTCTCTCTCTGTCTCAAAAATAAATAAACTTTAAAAAAAAAAATTAAAAAAAAATTTTTTTTGTCTTAAATTTGAAAGTCATATCCAGTTTCCTTTGGTTCGTATCTGCCTGGCATGTCTTTTGCCAACATTTTATTCTAAGCTATTTGTATCTTTCTCTTTTTTAAAGTTTATTTATCTATTTTGAGAGGGGGGAGGGGAAGGGTCAGAGACAGATGGAGAGAGAGAATCCCACGCAGGCTCCTTGCCGTCCAGCGCATGAACCGTGAGATCATGACCTGATCCAAACTCCAGAGTCGGATGCTCAGCCGACTGAGCCACCCATGTGCCCCTTGTATCTTTCTTTTTAAGTGTATCTCTTTTAAGCTACCCATTGTTAGCATTTTCAAATCTAATCAGGTTGTACCTTTTTTTTGGGGGGGGGGTTACCTTTTAATTGGAATTTTATCCACTTACATTTATAGTAATTAACTGTTATGTTGAGATTTGGTTTGCCAGCTTATACAAAATTTTATTTATTGTATTCATTTTTTTCTATTTTTCATGGAGTATCGTGAATTTTCTTCTGCTTTATCCTTGGTCTTACTTTTATTCTTATAGCAATTGCCCTAAATTTAACACCATTTTTACTTACCCCATGAACCTCTGTAGTCACATATTGTCCCTAACATCCAAGTACCTCAGCTTGCCAAAGATTCTTTACTCCAGGGCCCTGATTGTCTAGGATTATGGTTCTGAGTTATCGTGGACATACTCTTTTTTTTTTTCCTTTGGTCCTCACTTTTGTTTAAAATAACTAACACTCATTCCCAGGAATGTGGTCATTGTTATTTTCCATACCTCTGGGAAGCCTCTCCTGCATTTATGTTGTTCATGAAATACACTGTATTTTTAACGTGGGTTTTGGGTGAAAAATATGTTGAAGCTTCAGGTTCCTGAGAAGACTTTTATTATACTTTCAATTGGGCTGGATACAAAACTCTAGGTGCAAAGCTTGTTTCCTTCAATTTGTATTTTTTTTTTTTTATGTTTATTTATTCTTGAGACAGGGAGACAGAGCGCAAGCGAGGGAAGGGTAGAGAGAGAGGGAGACACAGAATCGGAAGCAGGCTCCAGGCTCTGAGTTGTCAGCACAGAGCCCGACACGGGGCTGGAACTGAGAAGCTATGAAATCATGACCTGAACCAAAGTCGGACACTCATCTGATGGAGCCACCCAGGAGCCCTGTTTCCTCCAATTTTTAAAAAATATTCTTTCGTGGTCTCCTTGTATGCTATTGAGACGTCCCATGTCCCCTGGGTTCTTGTTCCATGTTCTTTCTCTCAGGATGCTTCTAGAGCTTCCTAAAGGTGTGGATTTTTCTGTGAGCCCCCTTTTTAAAATTTATTTGCTTAATGTTTTTATTTTATTTTTTGAGAGAGAGAGCCAGAGCACAAGGCGGGGAGGGGCAGAGAGAGAGAGAGAGAGAGGGAGACACAGAATCCGAAGCGGCCTCCGAGCTGACATGTCAGCACAGAGCCTGACACGGGGCTCGAACCCACGAGCCACGACATCATGACCTGAGCCAAAGTCAGACACTTAACCGACTGAGCCACCCAGGTGCCCCCCTGTGAGCCCTTTCAACCTGAGGTTGTTTATTTTTCTTTCATTCCAGGAAATTAATCTGCATGGTTTTTCAAATATTTTGACTCCTCTTGGCTTTAATATTTTTCCGACTTGGGGACTCCTAGCATCTGCATGCTGGCCCTCGCATCCTTTACAACTCCTTCTCTTCTCTTTGTACTTTCTGACTCTCCTCTCCCCCGGTGGAATTCATGCCTCTCCCCCCAGCAGCAAGACTGGACTGGCCGGCAGACCCCACATGACTTAGCCCTGCAACTGCACCCTCCCCTGGGCTCTTTCAACCCACACCCTGATTGCCTTTCGTGGCCATTCTTGTGGGCTTCCCTCTCCATCAGCTGTGTGACTCCAGACAAGGTCAGCCACCCCATGTCTGTCACCACTCCTCAAATGGGGTAAGAGTCGTCCCAACCTCACAGGTGGGGCTGGGGGTTTGCATGTGAAATGCTGAGAGCAGGGCTGGGCACACAGCGAGCCCTGTGCAGACGACGACTGTAACAGAGACACAAAAGGACTCCCGTGACAGCAAGGGACGTGCACAGTCCCCTCCACTCCACTCAGAAGTATCAGCCGCTATAATTGCAAATGAGAGAAAAAAAGGCAAAAGTATTAGAAAGGAAGAAACAAAATTATCATTCTTTTCAGATAATGTGATTGTCGACCTAGAAAACTTTCGGGATGAGCGAAAAGCCACAGGAAACAGTAAGTTGGGGCGGGTAGGAAACATCATCACTGAGAGGGCAACAGTTTCCAAAAAGCAAGCAGGGTCACCAGTATAACCAGTTAGAGCCTGGAATTGAGGAGTCCGATCACAATAGCACTGAGAAATGTAAAACATCCAGAAACAACAAGAAATGTGCCAGTTTCTCACGGGTAAAGAAACTGCATACAAAAATTAAAAATACACCGAAAAGAGGTAAATTAATGGCAAAGCACAGCATACCCCCGGAAAGAAAGAGGCAACGTTGTAAAAGGCCCAGTTTTCCCTAGATTAAAAGGACGCATTTGATTCAGTCTTAATTAAAATAGCAACAAAAATTCACCTGGAAAAAAAGGAACATACAAGACTAATCAGGAAATTTGTTTAAAAGGAGAGGAAGGAACAGCATCTGCCCTGTTAGACGTTAAAACGGAAAGTTCCAAAATTCTGAATTCTGAAAGATACAGATCAAAAGTTTAGGATACCCTTTAAAATGATTTGGGG